TCAAGTTAATTAAAAGCTTGTAATAACAAAAATAGCTGATGCAAGCCGATAGATCAGATTGAAGTGTTTTGGATTTCGCGTATTACCAGAGTTGTGGGTTCGAATCCCATCGCTACGAATGCTTTTCTTCCGTTTTTCAGATTGTAAATAATCTCAAACTGTGCCAACATTTCAGGCAATTTATAGTGACTAAAAGTTTTGATGATTAAAAATTTGGACCGTTTACGGTCTATATTTTTTAAATAGACACGATATGGTGACCCGACTACACCGCACAAATTGTAATACATAAGCTATCTGAATAATGGTGAGTTTCCGAATGGATACTAAAGAAGCCACGGAGACAAAGTGTTTCTTAAATTTTTTACATTTTCCATTGCAATCAAAGATTGAGGAATCAAATAAGTGCTGGATATGGTGTAACGCAATGCGAAATAACCCATGGCCATTGTGTTGGATATTTACGTGCCAGCTTGCCATTTGAAAGTACATTTTGGTGATAAAATGACACTGTTAAAAGAATTTACTTTTGTAAAGATTAGCAAAACACCAAACATTCTTAGAATGCTTCAAAGAAGAAGATTCCTTAATTTACCCGTAACAGTGCATGTTTACCTTGTTTTTCGTCGTATTTGCCTTGGTGGCTGAGCATAAACACTGTTCCCGTAGATTTGAAACACTTGTAAGTTGTGAGTTGTATTGAAAACATGCCTGCGGAGTTTTCTTTTCCCCGTCCACGAATTTTGACATACGCCAATCATTGTTATGTATATCTTATGCAGATATACTTAATAATTCAAATCCACTGCATAATAGGTTCAATAGTTACTCAGTTAATAATTATATAGAATGACATGTATGAGTACATGTGAAGTTGTATCTTAGGAATCTCGCATGCTGTTTTGTTTATTTTGAAAGTTGTATGGAATTGATCATATAAGAATAGCACTTAATTGTCTATTATCTGTTGGAAAATCTAATTGCTCTGCAAATACAGGTATATGTACTTTAACATGTAATTGCTGGTTACCAGCGGCAGCATTGTCGTAACGTTACTGCAGTTCACGTGTATCGTGGTTAATACTATATAGTGCGATTTGTTGGTGGTTTTGTAACTTGTTGCATTAGTTATACATAAATTATATACCCTGTGTGGTTGATAAATTGATAAAAATGCGGTGTGCTGTTGTGGGATGTCATTCCGACAATCAATCTAAACGGAACCTTTGCAAAGACATGAAGTTCCACAGTTTTCCTCAAGACCCAAACTTTAGCACAAAAATGGCTACATCTCGCAAAAAGATAAGACAAAGTTAATGTAAAAAGCGCTAGGGTTTGCTAGAAAATGCTCTAGAGGATCTGAAACAACGCTTCAGCGTCCAACACCTGTTAACAAGACGTCTTAATTAAGATGTGATAGAAAATTTTTTCGGAGTTATTAGATGGTCTTCATGACCTTCAAGTCCTCTAGAGTTTAAGTATAGAATAAGGTCATATATGCAGGGGCGAAACGAAGGCGCATATTTAGAGTACCTATTGCAGCGTAGAATCAGAGGATACTCCAGACATTCCACTAACCACTAACCGCATCATTAACGAGAATAAACTGAATGCACCTGAAGTATCAGCTGACTATACCGAGCAAGTTTTAGTGGAAGAAATAGTTGAGTTCGAGTATGACGGGCTGGAAAATTTGGCCGGCTTTGGTTGCAATAAATTGCAGGATGAGAGGCTGAAAAGTTTCACAAATGAAACTTATTCATGGATAGACCATCTTAGTGAGGGTGGATTATCAAAACCTTCCGCAACTTTCATGAATCAAATTGAGAAGCTAAACAAGACAAGGTATTCACTACATTCAATGAAGACGGAATAGTGACAAAAAAGCAAAATTTTATAGGTGAACTTCTGTTGAAGAGCAGCAACATTGACTGCCCTGAAAAAGATAAAAAACTGTTTTTCAGGTCAAGGATGTTCTTCCGAACTGAATAAAAGTTTGAAAGACCAGAAACATCGTAAAAGGAAATGGAAAAAAAATTGTTGCTTAGACTAAGTCATTTCCATTTATTGTTATACCACCACCTTACTGCAAAAAGACGATAACTCCATTTTTATACTTTTCTGTGGAATAAGGATAAATGTAGTACAGTATTATGACACGAACATGTTAATCCTGCTCCACAGAACATACTAAAATATAGGTAATGTAGAAAAATGAATCTTGTTTTTACAGTGAACAGACGATACGCTCCATTGTGGAGCTAGAAGCCGTTTAAGCTATAGCCTGTGAAATAGGAATTACAGGGTTGAAATCTTTCATTAAAATCCACCATTTTGCTTTGTATAAAATTCTAATGTAGCCAGTGTCACTCGTACCGCTAAGACGAATCCAACGACACCTCATATGTGAAAATCTATCAAGCTGTTTGATCTGTAGCCTATGAAGTAGGAATTAGAAGGTTGAAATCTTTTATTAAAATCCACCATTTTGTTTTTTATAAAATTCCAATGTAGCTAGTGTCACTCGCACCGCTAAGACGAATTCAACGACACCTTATATGTGAAAATCCGTCCAGCCGTTTGGCCTGTAGGTGAAAATATGCACGTTATCCATATCAACCCAAATGATAATCACTCTCCGCGTGACCTCATGCGCGCCGGCGGACGAAAATCGAACAGCGAAGCATACGGCCCTGACAAAAATCGTTCAACTCTGATCATGGAGGTGAAAACTTTGCCTTGGAATGCGCAGGACGCGATGTTATCAAACGAACCAATGACGCAATGTTGCAGAAATTGTGGCGATCCTGACCTTTCATTTCGATCTAAATGGAGCACCGTTAGGACCTATCAGGAATCAATTCTAAACAGATTCGACACAATTCACAATTCAAAAGTAAAACCATTATTTGGGCGTAAAGAATAAACTCAGTGTATAGGGTTTTTCCAAAACATGGATATAAAGTCCGAGGGATTTTATGGGCTATTGACGTTTAACTATTTTTCGATACAGATCGGACAAAGCTATCAAAGAAATGGAGGTAAATTGTTCAAAATGGCTTTTCCCCTGGAATTGAGAATATTATACATGGTTCTGTCTTAGCGAACAACCCTTGTGGTTTAATCCTAGTGCCTGTTTCTAACGGAAGTTTAACCCTTGAAATACATTTTGATGTCACCTTGGCGTCATATATATGATCCTGACCTGCTTTGACAATTTTGGCTCCTAAATAAGTGATATCTATATCGAAATATTGAACACGGCTTGGCGACATGGAAATTAATTTCAAGAGCCGACTACAATCACGCTAGATTATACAGGGTGTTCCATAATTATTGCGACAAAATGATAGGGGTTGTAGAGTGCATCAAAATGAACAATTTTTCCTTATAAACCCCTGTTCGGAAACATGCCGTTTGGGCTGCAGCAAAAAAAAAGATCAGTTTCTTGAAACAGCTTACCTACAGTAATTGCTCAAAGTGTCCTCCACCTTGCTCAATACACACCTGTGCACGATTGTTCAATGATCGGCGAACTCTGTGGCATACCCCCGGTATGTCCTGAACATGTGCGGACGCGGCCATCACTCTTCCCAGTAGCTCTTGTTGGTTGGGAACAGGAGTTTCGTACACTAAAGCTTTCAGATAGCTCCAGATAAAATAATCCAGTGGAGTCAGGTCAAGTGACCGCGCAGGCCAAGGCACAGGGCCACCTCGGCCTATCCACCTATTTGGAAATTTGTCGTCCAAATACTGCCGCACTTGTAAAGAAAAGTGGGCTGGACCGCCATGGTGTTGAAACCACATGTTGGCTCTTATATTCAGTGGCACATTTTCTAATAGTTCCGGTAGCACATGCTGTAAGGATCGACCATAAGCATGCCCATCCAAACGTGGTGGAAGCAGATATGGCCCGATGATATGCTCGTCCACAATGCCGCACCAGATGTTAATTGAAAACTGATGTTGGTCTCTATGGATGGCTATGGCATGAGGGTTTTCTTCATCCCAAATGTGACTGTTACGGCTATTAAAATAACCGTCCTTTGTAAAACAGGACTCGTCAGTGAACAAAACGTAGCGACCAAAGTTTGGTTGCCTCAACTCCTGCTGCAGCCACCAACGACAAAAACGTCGACGCGGCAGATAGTCTGCTGGACCCATGGCTTGGACTTTTAAAAGGTGGTACGGGTGTACGATAACAAAAATGTAAACACAGCAGGCTTTTTCTACAAACCGGCGAGACCATGAAATGTGCTAGACGAACATTTTGCAGCTGGTGAATTTTTTGTTTCTCCTATGAGCTCTTAAGGTAAAATTAACTGTAGTGCTCAAACGGCATATTTATGAACAGGGGTTTATAAGGCAAAATTGCATATTTTTATGCCCTCTACAACCCCTATCATTTTGTCGCAATAATTATGGAACACCCTGTATATGTGTGTGTATATATATATATAGCATATAATATATTTATAGTATGTATAGTATATATACATAGTATATATAGTATATAAGTACGTATCAAGAGCTATTGTTGAAATAATACACAAAGTTGCCATTACCAGAATCGACCACTGCGAAAGTGAAAACTGCAAGCTGTCTGTTGGAACTGTTTCTCACTGTGGCCTCTAGATGCCGCCGATTCTGGTACTATAGTAGATACGGTCTACCCGAGATTACAATCAGGTATCAAACATTGTTGACAAACAGTTTTGCACTACAGCTCTAAAGAAATAAGGCTACCGTGAACAGGACACGCTGATTGCTGCAATATGAGGATTTTTTTTTTCATGACACTAATGGTTTTCACTAATTCTACGTCTTTTTGATGCCATTGAGCTACATGGAAAATTGTACTGGAAGCTGTTTCGGCGGTGCGGGAAGTTATAGGGTCAATCCACTTGACGCCACTTTTTTTGCTAAGAGGGCAGCAGTCTCTCATATTATTTTAATAAGTTTTCGGTACCAGCTCTAATCTCGGATAATCGATCCAAACAAAATAATACTCGTATAACGGCACCCATTCATTTTTATGCGATAGCACGGTGTAACGAAATTACCGTTATCTGGCTACTTAAAACTACGTCTACCTAACATTGCTAGTTTCACTGAACATGTAGTCCAGCATGGTTAACTTTTATTATTGCAATTCATTGGGTAAGAAAAATGCTATTTATGGATACTATCTGGGCAGAATGTGAAGAGCAAGGTTTTCGTATTTTATATTGCAGAGGTCTAGATGCATCCACCATTTTTTTTAATATAAAAAAATATTAAAGAATATGGAAAATGTAATAATTATAACTTGAGAATATGTATAGGGCACTCATCGTATAACCATATGACTTTCAAATGACTACGTTTGCTTTAATTTATTCAAAAATTGGGTCATACCTGCGAAAAATAGCTTTCCTATTTCATATTTACAAACAAGCTGCAATAAGATGTATAGATAGCTCAAACTGAGGTACCAAAGGTCAAATCTTATCGTTAGTGACAGTAATAAAAGGAAAAAGGCAGTTATACAATTTTAATATTGATTAGAATTAATTATTAAACAGACATTTTTAAATCTTCGAAAGTACAAAATATAAAGTTTAAGCCTATAATTCTTGTCCTGTCGATGTTATAAAAGGATGCTACTAACCAAATCTGAAGTACACCGACACGTAGAAAGAATTTATTGCATAATTTTTGCCTAGCAACCTCTGGAAGGATTGAAGTCGTCTGACAAATACTATAATAAATGCCCCTTGGTTAATATAACATTTGAAGTTTATGCTGTATCAAAGATGACGAAGGATCTTTATGAGACTGATGACAATAATAAACAATAAACCACTCATATTTTGTTTTACTCGTATCCAATGAATTGCAATAATGCCCATATGAAATAAGATCAATATGCGGGAGTAATGGTCGAAAACGTGAATTTGCCATGCAAAATAAATAAAGACGGCATACATAGGGCAAGTTCGGGTTGCATTTTAAATTGGTTTGCTGCTTGCAGTTTTTTTTCAGTTGTAATTCTCTAATAGCATCGTAGTTGAAAGCAAGTGGTATTGAAAATAGTGCAGTTTGTCATAAAGTAGCTCTTTATACGAGATGTTCCGTTGGGTGGTAAAACTGCGTGGTCTCAGGATACGCAACTTGGTAAGTAAATATTTCATAAAATAATGGTTGATCCGATGACAGCAATCACCGACAAATAATTATTATCATGAAAACATCTTTAGAGTAAGCTGTAACCCTTAACAAGTTTGATATAATCACAATATAAGGGAAATGTATAGGTTACTGTACAGTCCTCGGGAGAAAATTTATTGAAAGTTGATCGAACAGATAAGATTAGGTATGGATTCAGAAGACTTGAAGTGATTCTTCTTTTCTCAAAGCCCTTATAACTAGCCGAATAATCCATAAGATAGAAGCTGTTTTACCCAATGAATTCAGACTAGGTAGAAGGAGCCCGTTGAGGATTTGTTTGTCTTTTAACTTTCATAATCGGTAGGATCAAAGTACACTTGACATAAGTCAATTTTCTAATAGTTCTGTCATTAAATTTGTATTTTTAGTATTATTTTTCTGAAGTACGAGTTTGCAGAAACTTGTGGCGTTGAACGGTTTCAAGACATGGTAATTTTGCAAAGAGCGACACAAACCTAATGAAGGTAGATGTTTCAACAGGTTATTATTAATATATTGGGTCTAGGTAATAATTGCTATGCAGTGATTCGCATCGGCATACGAGTACTACACGTTTATTCAGTCGAGACTTAGATAATTATGGTCTGATCGTCTGGAGCAGCTAGCGGGATATAAACAGGGATTTCATTATTCAAAAAAAAATGCATATGGACCGTATTTGAAATCAAACAAATGGAAAGTTGCCAAAAAATATTCATCAGTAAAAAAATTCTAACGGTTGTTTCTCTTATATTGGACGCTTTTATGTTTGTTTTTGAAAATAGAGATTTGTTTGACGACGCTACAAATAAACATAATCACATGACTAGCCATAAGGAAGATCTTATCCCAGATAAGTGTAACTTTAGTTTTATACGGAATAATGCTCCATATACTGTTAAAAAGATTTTCAATATAAATATACGTAATTTACTAGAAATCAAAGTTAAAAAGAGTATCGCTAATTATTTGATCTCTAAGGCATTTTACTCAACGAATGATTTTTTTGAGGATAAGGATAGACTTACTCTAGAGTTAATTTAGAATATTTGGTACTGCAGAGTATTTTATATCATTGTTGCTCCTATACAAAATTTTATTGATAACATTGACTATATGGAAAATTGTTGTAATTGAATATATTGTTCTTATGATTGTGAAGGCACATGAATTCTTAGTAGTTTATAAAAATCCTTGTAATTGTATATTTTTTTATAATTAATTTCAGCTAGCTAGTATACTTCTCTTTAACAATGTTCTATGCTTCGGCCTATGAATAAATAAAAAATTATCTACCTATCTATCTATCTATCTATCTATCTATTGATACAACGGTGTCACTTTGGTAGGAATTGGTATTCAAATTAGTCAAAAATATGCACTAAAACTACGCAATTTAGGTGATAAACAATGCGGTGTCCCGAAGAAAGTGTGCAATATTCTACCAGCGGTTTCTAGAGCTTAAAATAGGAAGAAAAGTTTATATAAACATAAGTCGACAAACGACCCCGAAGGGCGCTACGGTCCCTGAAGATGGTTTTCCTTTAATATTTCTGAAACGTGTTGAGATAAAGACAAAAAATTTGGTATTCTAGCCTAGTTTTTTTATGCTGGAATTAAAAATATTAACAATTTTAGACAGTTTTGTTTGGAAGCGTATGTAACAGGGACGGACTCAGGTTATTTGAGCCCCAAATTTTTGTGTGATTCTATTTTTGAAATTCAATTTTAGAATTTGAAAATTTAGGGTTTTCTACATAAAAAAGGTACTCTTATTGAATATCGATAAACTAAGCCATTTTTTAATAAAATCAAACTAAAAAATTTTTCACATGATAGGAAATTTAAATGAATTGTTGAATAATTAGCCATGACAACGAAAAAACTAATTTAATAATTGGTAAATATTACATAAATACATATTTCAATTGAAACACAGCTAACATTTAGGCAAAAACAAAAGAAATAAATTTTTTCAACGAACGAAATTGAAATTTGTTTAAAAAAGAAGACATTTCAGTTGGATATACTTAAAACTGGCTTTACAATAAGTGTTCAAATAAATTCCCATTTTGTTGGGTACAGAGTCTCGCTCGACGAACTAATGATTGCGTAGCCCGAAAAGTGGAAAACCTTTTTCTTCTTATTTCATTTGCATCCTGATGAATTCTTTGAAGTAAATCTTCTTTAGTATTTGCTTCAGTCGAGTGAACTCTTTTAATGACCCCCAAAAGTAGAAATCCAATGCTTGGCTCCCTCTAATCTATTCGAATTCGTTGATTATACCTGATCCAATTTTAGCAACGTGAGGTTTGCATGGCTTTGGTACTAAGAGAACCATAATAATTGTTCAGAGTGACGCCCATGCATTCTCGACATATGTGCATCTGCTTTTGCAAGAACCAGATGCACAGAAGGAATGCAGAACTGCAGCTGTATTCAAAAGTGAACATCATCAAGGCTAGTGCGTTTTGTAGGAATTTTGCGTATATCTGTATATGTATAGTCGTTTCTGTTGATAGTGACTATGAATGGAGGTGTTACACAAGTTATCTACATAGAAAAATGGCGTAAAGTAGATTCACTCGGTACTTCCTGCGGAACGCTGTCATTAGTTCATAAGAAATTATATTCGCCACAAGTTAGCACTTCTGAAATAAATGTTATGTAGGAACATGTGTAACAAAAATATTAAATGGATCAAGCCAGTCGAACAGGGGCATACAATTTGTCACATGCCTCACCGATTAGACAAAGTTGCTATCCAGAGAATTATCCGCTGCCATACCCACAGCACCAACCATCTGGTAACTATGTTATGATTAACCTCGCCACTTACCAGCCACCCATCTCATCAGTCAAACATCGACTAGACCTCGATGCAAGTATATGTACGTTCGTCTCGTAGGACGCGTGTGTTGGAAATATTTTTTTTTTAGTTTTACAAATGTACGGGGACATCTATGATGTGTGAAATATATCTAACAGGTTCGTAGAATTACCAGGGCTAGAAGCATATAGATATACCTACTAACATCTGAAATAGAGATATATCCTCCATGGTTTTCCGTGAAGTACATATGTAACAGCCAAAAACATAATATTTCATTTCGAAAATTTCCGCGATTGCAATACTACTTCGTCAAATTTATAAATAATAGCAATTGCTGGAGTTTGTAAGGACACACATTACATCGAAAGTTATGGGGAGTAAGTGTTACAAAAAAGGGCATCTCGTAACATTCAAAATGAATTTTGATTGTGTGAAATAATTCCAAAACTCCTATTAACAGATCATCTCCTCAGCTCACTCACGTTACACAAGAATTCGATGTCATGATTTAAATTTTCTGCATGCTCTTTCCTAATAGCAACAATGCTTTAAGCTCGCTTGAGTTGAGCGATAAGCCAGAATATGTCAAAGCCAATTTCCATTATCTACCTCTTATATGCAGGAAACCTAGCCTCGAGTGCTGCTCACATGTTTGGGGTGCTGCTGCCCCGATTACATTATCCATTTCTGACGCTGTCCGACTCTTTTCTAAAGGACAGTCTCGCGACCCTTTCGCACCGGCGGATTTTCAGCGATCTAGCTCTATTCTACCGCTAAGTCAACGGGCTTTGCTCCGCAGAGCCTGTCAGACAAACCCGTCTGCGTTCGCCTTTTTCCATTCTACTAACCTTAGGCAGTTTAAAAATCGGATTAGCAAAGTTTCTTTTCCTAAAAGCAGCCGCGGTGCCCTGGCGTTTAGGTTTCTACCTGCGCGGCTGCTTCGGTGTAAAAAAACAAGTGAAGGAAATTTCGATCGATAACATTGATTTAATCGTAATTCCTAATTGCCACTGGTACGTGGTAAAATGGCAATTTGTTTATCATTGTGAAATATTTATTTTCAAACAACGTAATAAGATGTTTTATTTATATGTGCTACCACCAACATTGTATATACTTTGTATTTTTATAGATAGACATCAATATACACTGTATTTAAGCAAATTGCAGATAAATTTAAAAACTTATAATTATTATATTGCAACATTACTATTCAATATACAATATCAAATGGATCATTATAGTTTATCTATCATTGAAGATGGCGATAACAATATTGATGTCAGCAAGATAAGACTTTCTGCTATTTATTTTTAACCTTAGAATATAAATTGACCCTTTAAAGGTAACGGATTGGCACTATGATGAAGTTGAGGATTTTTGTAATTTGAATCCCTGATAAATTATCAACCAATTAACAAAACGTTATGGTAGTTTATATCAATCTTGTGTGACCCCACATTTTATTTAACAAATGTTCTAAGGTGGTATCAGGCCTCCATCTTGAAATTCTTAATTGTTAACTTACGTAAAAGCATGGTATGTACATGCATCAATTTCATCGCCCCGAATTTCCGCTCGCTAACTTGACTCATTCAAAGGGAGAGGGGGGGGCTTCATGAGAAGCGTTGGATATCTGTTACTCAGTATTTTTTATTTCAAATTACTCATACCTTGATTTTGAGTATACCATAACTATCTAAAACTGTCATGACTCATCGATGTTCACGTGAACATTACTCAACCACCGGTAGTCAGGTTGTCAGTGGCGGGGTATGAATTTTTAATATGGGGTCAACTTGATTTCTTTCATATGTTTAATAAAAAAGGAAATTGTTTGAACGACGTTATAGATTAATTAATTTGGAGATTTCCTTTGAGAGTTTTTTCTGATTATCCATAAGCTAATTGAGGCTACCTCTCTTCATTCGTCGTCGCTTCCACTTCCATCAATAAGCTGTCACTATCGGTTTCTTTGCCAAGATTGACTATACCTGGGTCCATGATGCTGTCGATGTTGTGGTCAAGCTGCCACATTTTTGTTTCTTCCTTCAGAACATGACGCGCAGCATTCTGCCACGCTTCAGGCGTTACTAGCTGTATGGAATTCTCTAGCAAAGCTTTGACGTCTGGT